CCAGGCTGCCAGAGTGAGCGGGCTCACCCTGTCAGTCTGGGGAAAACGAGTGGGGCGATGGGAAGGAGGTGGAGAAGGAGATGACGAAGGAGAAGAATAGGCAGAAGAATAGACGGAGGTAGAGGTAGAAGAGGTAGGATGAGGAGAAGGAGTATGGTTGTTGTTGTTGTTGTTATTGGTATTGTTGTTGTTTCGGTTTTGAGTTTTTCGACCATGTTTAGACGTCTGCGGCCCTGGCTAGCCTGGGGACGGCGTGGTGCCCAGCAATGTTTAGGCCACCTTTTCTAGGCCCTCCCCCGTAATGGGGACAGGCAGTGCCCCCCGAATCGGGCTGCCTGTGTGCCTGTTTGGCGCGACCGAATCCCACCATGGGACCACGACTTTATGTTTGTAGTGGAGAACGACCGCATATGCCGAGGTCTGCGGTCTCCGTCGGCGTAGGTGGGCGCGTCTCAGCGAAGGCGATGCGGGGACCCATCCCGGCAGCAGCTGTCCAACGGCGTACCAGGCAGAGCCTCGTCTCGACGACGCCGGCGCAACGTTTCATCCGACCAAACGTCCAGCGGAGCCCGCAGTACACTGTGCGCGCGGCACAAGCGCACAGCGCCCTCACCTGGTTTAGCCCGCCGGTCGAGGCGGTTGCCCGGGGTGTGGCCGCTAAGCAGAGCCCAGCTACGTGGAGCCACAGGTGAGAGTTGGGTGCCAGCAAATGGACGCTAGGCGTAGTCTCACCTGCAAGCAAGTGAGCGACCACTACGACCTTCACGTGAACCCACCGCTGGACACCCCTACACCCCGAATGCATAGCCCAACACTTACAGGACAAACCTGTTAAGATCCCAAAGCAGCATGTTATAGAACTCCTGCCAATTCGACAACTAATACTATCAACAGGTAAAGGGAACCCTAATGAGCTCTTTAATATCAGGACTGCTCGCCGAACGAGTATTGCAACGACTAGAAGAAGAGGTTACTCAAACTCTTAAGCCAAACATGTGGCCTTGTCATGTAGACGACAGCGTTGTAGTAACAAAAACCAGTGGAGTCGGATGGCTGCGTCAGAGGCTAAAAGATTCCTCTCCGGCCAAACAGTTTACCCCTGAGGAGGCAAAAAGAGACAGCCTGCTGTTTCTGAATGTGAGAATACAAAAGCTCAGCGATGGTAGCCTCACAAAAAGCGTCCACAGGAAAGGATCTAATCCAGAGATTACCTTGAATTATGGAAACAATCATCCTGAAGTTCACACAAAGAGGTGCCTCCAAACTCCGTTTCACCGAACCTATCGTTGTTGCAAGAACAGCGTTCTCCTTTAGAAGGAGCTTGCTTACCTACACTGTTTGTTTTGAGCTAACGGATATCCGATTAGTTTCGTGAAGAACTACCACTAGCACCAGGCACAACCGCATGCCCCCACCACCACCGGAGAAATTGCAGAACGAAAATTTTACTGTCTGTCTTATATGCATGGAACCCCCGAAGTAATCACCCGGCTGTTAAATCGCTCTGGTATTCACGTTGTCCACGAACCAGTATCCTCACTAGGCGCAAAACTATCTCAAATCAAGGATCTTCTCCCCAAATAACAGCAAACAGGCGTAATTTATCACATCCCATGTGCAAACTGTTCCTTTGTGCATGTTGGCCATACGGGTCGACGCCTGGTTACCCGTATTAATGAACACAAACCAGCTCTTCGTCGGCGAGACCCCTGTCCCTCCTTTTTGCGCACACATTCAAATGCGACCACCGATTCAATTGGAATGACAGTGAGGTCATCGTCATGGCTAACACAAAACGGGCGAAAGAATTTCTCGAGATTTGGTACTTCAATTCATGAGTACAATTCATGAGAACCACTTATTTTCTCATAACATCGTCTCTGAATGCACACTACGTCTGTCCTACATATATAGCTATATGTACCAAAGCGTCCCAGGGGATAAATGAGAAGAAGAGGCGATCTTGGGAACCATAGGTTTAATAGCCTGACGTTTCAAAAGCACACAAGCTTCAATCAACGGAGGTGGGTTCTGTACGGCGTCTCACAGTATTTATGGGTGCTGAGCATGCGGGAGTGTTGTCGTTCCTACTGCTATTCGTGCAGGATCTGCTGCGGGGGGCAAAGTTAATTGCTGTCGTGCTGGTCGGTCCCTTCCTCCGTCTCCTCGTCGGGTGGACTGTGTCGAGGTGACAACGGTCATTGACCTCGTCTGCATTGCCCGCATTTGTTGCAGACGAGGTCAACGATCGTTGCCATCCCGACACAGCTCACCCGACGAGGAGACGGAGGAAGTGACCGACCAGCACGACAGCAATTAACTTTGCCCCCCGCAGCAGATCCTGCACGAATAGCAGTAGGAACGACAACACTCCCGCATGCTCAGCACCCATAAATACTGTGAGGCGCCGTAAAGAACCCACCTCCGACGATGGAAGCTTGCGTGCTTTTGAAACGTCGGGCTATTAAACCTATGGTTCCCGAGATCGCCTCTTCTTCTCATTTATCCCCGGGGACGCGCATTTTCGCTTTAATTAGCAATATATATATATATATATATAGGCAGAATGCTATTACCGACAAAGACAAGGGAGACTGGAATGGCCATTTCTGGCTTATTAGTCGTCGTCAGCCAGTCATACCCCAAGCCCGAAGTGTGGAACATCCGAGCCTCGAACTCGCGACCTGTTGGTTTAGAAGTCCACGCCTCTACCCACCGGGCCACGAGCCCGTTGCCTTGTCGGTTTTCGATCGGGAATATACAATGGTAGGGGGCGCTCACCGATCGTTCATACGGAACTCACTCGTTCCGTTGTGCCTTAAGGACCCTTAAGGGCCACTGTATATTCCCGATCGAAAACCGACAAGGCAACGGGCTCGTGTCCCGGTGGGTAGAGGCGTGGACTTCTAAACCAACAGGTCGCGAATTCGAGACTCGGGTGTTCCACACTTCGGGCTTGGGTATGGCTGGCTGACGACGGCTAATAAGCCAGAAATGGCCATTCCAGTCTCCCTTGTCTTTGTCGGTAATAGCATTCTGCCTATTTATCATGCGCCGCTGTGCGGCTGCTGGTTGGGCTCGAGAGAGAGCCCTTAAGGCACAACGGAACGAGTGAGTTCCGTATGAACGATCGGTGAGCGCCCCCTACCACTATATATATATATATGTCGAAGTCGAATGTGTGCTTTGGGAAAGCAAGTTTATTGTGCAAATTTTCGACGCCGGTTCCCCGAGTCGTTGTCAGGCACAGACGGAAAGCAAATGCGCCAACACAGTTAACATCCTAAGTACACGTAAAAAAATCTCTAATCGCCTGACGCTCACGCCAGTAAGCGGCCGTCGTGTTTGTCAGTCCGTTCTGATTGGTCCCCGCCTCTTCCATCTCTCCTTGAGATTGCTGTACGCGGCATCCAACTCGATGTGCCTGTTGATGCATGAATCGTCTGAGTGCATGGCCTCAAGGAACTCTCGGCCCCGCAAAGAAAGGCCGAGAGTTCCTTGAGGCCATGCACTCAGACGATTCATGCATCAACAGGCACATCGAGTTGGATGCCGCGTACAGCAATCTCAAGGAGAGATGGAAGAGGCGGGGACCAATCAGAACGGACTGACAAACACGACGGCCGCTTACTGGCGTGAGCGTCAGGCGATTAGAGATTTTTTTACGTGTACTTAGGATGTTAACTGTGTTGGCGCATTTGCTTTCCGTCTGTGCCTGACGACGACTCGGGGAACCGGCGTCGAAAATTTGCACAATAAACTTGCTTTCCCAAAGCACACATTCGACTTCGACTTATATTTCTTGGGATGCCTACCTTCCAACATCTATATATATATATATATATATATATATATCAGCGAGAAGAGAGGAGAGGGAATGCGGTTACATTGATTAATCCAACCAATAGAGTCGCTAGTGACCGCGATTGCATTACCGACTCTGGTGATTGGTGTGATAAATAGTGGTCATTCCGCTTCTCCGGCATTTTTTCACAAACATTCTTCTGCCGCACACTGTCCAGGCAAAGTCTTAACTGTGTCAAGAAACGAAGGGGATAAGTCTGTTTGTTTTCAGGAAGCAAATCGAAGAACCATGCCCCAAACAGTTTGACTTGTTTAGTGGTCGGATTGTGAATGACGACGGTCCATTAACGACGCTCCACAAGTGCTCGGTAGTCTGGGTAACAGGGTGCAGTTGCGGACTTTGAGGAATCACTATATTTCACCGTGGTTCACACATTCTTCGACGTTTTGCCTTTAGACGTAGCAACTGACTTTTAACCTTTTACGACCTCTGTTAAAATTGGCGTCGATACCGGGAAAATCGCATCCCTTTTTCAGTGGTGCTGTTTTTTGTGAAGTGCATACCACTCGGGGAGCGGGCTCTAAATCTCGCTGTCGTAGTCATTTGACCCGTTTCAGTATTTTTAATGTGCAGGTTTAGGGTTTTCGGTAACATTGGTGTAGATGGCGTTGCGCAGTCTGCCTCCTGCATATTCAGAGCCAGCAGGTGTTCATTCGGTCCGGGACCCAACACTGCGGTGTTCATTTTCCTAGATACTGACCATCCCTGAGGCCACCTTCACTATCGTAACGCCATCTTTGAGAGGATTAGGTAGTGATGGGTTCAGTATTCGGCACCATATACTACAGTAGGTGTACTAACTCATGAAATGTTAACCGAAATTCTGAACTGCGTTTTCGATGTGAAAAGACTACGTAAGTAGCATTGTTATATTAACCAGCATGCAACATAATCCTATAATATTTCAGTTACTCCACGATGGTCTGGACTGTTTGCCGTTAACAGCCAACCATAAAATACCCGGTTCTAGATGACCTGGGACTTAAACCACGGGGCCTTTGTTCACTGGGCATTGAGTAATCTAACCCTCCGTCTCTAAGCCATGGGCGCAATATATCCCAGAACGTTTCTATGGCCT